TTCCGGGCCTGCCGCAAAAAGAATGGCGGGTGTGCGCGTGTAAGTGTGTAAAGGATGGTCGCAACACACTTCCCCTTCATGTAGGAAACTAGCTCTTCAGGGAAAGGGCTAGAATCGTTTTCCTTGATCTCCGGTTTGCTAAATTCGGTTTTTTGGTTTTTTTTAAATTAAAAGCCTCCCAAATTGTCAAAGTACTTGTAGCCCGCCCCTCTCTAAAAAGATCCAACGCGGAGTGTCTCAGCCTTTTGTGAGCATAAGGCAGGGTTCCCCAGAGTGGTCAGTATCCACCCCCAAGGGTCGATGGGACTATCCAGTATTGCTACTGTTGTTGTTATTCGTCTTACTGTTAGCATTTATTGTATTGTTTTCATGTAATAAATGTTCGGGGGTCAGTGAACAGACTGAACGTTCGTGAAGGGGCCAATGCGCCGAGGAGTTTGGGGGCCCCTGGTATAAGGCCATAATCTCAGGGGACCAAGCTGCAGGGGGAACGCATTTGGTTCTCTTTCTTTCCTTTCCTTTCTTTAAAAATTTTCTCCCTTATCTGGAGGGGCACCAAGAAGAGCTTGGTTCTCGTGGGCTCTGTAGAGAGAGCAAACCTGCTTCCAGAACAGCAGGAAGCCTCTTAGGCCGAGGGCCATCTTCTCAGTTGTTGGTTTGTTTGGAGGTGTTGAGCTTCCTTTTCATTTCGTTTCTCAACTTCCCCCCAGTAGGATCGTGATTATGGCTGCCGATTCAGATGTACTCCATTTCCAGTTTGAGCAGCAAGGGGATGCCGTGCTGCAGAAGATGAACCTACTGAGGCAGCAAAACCTCTTCTGCGATGTGTCAATATACATCAACGACACAGAGTTCCACGGGCACAAAGTGATCTTTGCTGCCTGCTCCACCTTCATGCGGGACCAGTTCCTGCTCACTCAGTCCCAGCAGGTTCGGATTACTATTTTGCAGAGCGCCGAAGTAGGCCGGAAGCTGCTGCTTTCATGCTACACCGGTGCTCTGGAGGTGAAGAAGAAGGAGCTTTTGAAATACCTCACGGCGGCGAGTTATCTGCAGATGGTGCATATTGTGGAGAAGTGTACAGAGGCCCTTTCCAGATACCTTGAAATTGATGCTTCTGTGGAAGGCAACGGAAGGTGTGCTGAGAAATGCCACTCGTCTGACATGGAGCTAGGAAGCAAAGAGAGCTGCCTTGATAAAGACTGTGAAGTCATAGAGATTTCTGCAGACAGCCCGGTTAGCATAGACGAGCATATAAAGCAGGAGAAAGGGGAAATTCAGCAGCCATCCCTGCAGAGTTTAATGTCAGAAAGGAAGGACGTCAAAAGCCCTGAGATATCAACTGTAGAGATTGGCTACAAGGATGATGAAATCTGCCTTTTCCGAATGGATTCCATTAATGTCCCCAGTGTGGAGGATGAGCAGTTTTTACAGCCTTGCACCTCTTCAAAAACCAGCTTGTATTTCCCCGAAACTCAGCACTCCTTGATCAACTCTACCGTGGAGAGCAGGAGGACGGAGGTAGCTCAGTTCCAGAGCTTTGGCAGTGAGAATCCAGAAGGAGCTGCGCACACAGGGGGCGACTTCCCAAACTCTGAGGACGCCGGCTATTCGTGGCGGCATCAGTGCCCCAAATGTCCCAGAGGGTTCCTCCACTTGGAAAATTATCTCCGCCACCTGAAGATGCACAAACTGTTCTTGTGCTTGCAGTGTGGGAAAACCTTTACTCAGAAGAAGAACCTGAACCGGCATATTCGCGGTCACATGGGCATCCGTCCGTTCCAGTGCATGGTGTGTCTGAAGACGTTCACAGCCAAGAGCACCCTTCAGGACCACCTGAACATCCACAGTGGGGACCGGCCTTATAAGTGCCACTGTTGCGACATGGACTTCAAGCACAAGTCCGCCCTCAAAAAGCACCTGACTTCGGTGCACGGAAGGGCCAGTATGGACAAATCTGGCTTGGATGCCATTACGGAAGTCAGGATAGACTATGACTAGATGTAGTTTGAGAAGGGGAATGGAAAAGGTCTGGCTTGTTACAAAGCACCAAGACCGCCCCCCACCACAGTCCCCACTTTTAGACTCCGGTCCTGCATGTAAATACCCCCTGATATATCTATTGATGTTCCTGTAGGCTTTTGCAGAAGCTGCCCTTCTTCCCGTGATATTCAAGCAGCCAAGAAATCTTGAACAAAAGTGGCGCTTAATTGTTGTTATTTACATATTTATACAATATATAAAGTAGGGAGATAACGTCTTGACAGCTTTCTTTTTTTTGCACCACACTTTGAACAATAGCTATTGTTTACATTTTGGCTTTGGAGGCCTTAATCTGAGCATCTGTTTTTTGATGAAGGCAATTCAGTCTTGCAACTTTCTCTTGTTCAAAATGAACTGCACGGCGGCCGAAGGGGCTACGGACAACCAAGGCAGCATCTTTATTTGTTTCTCTTAACGAAGGTCAGACTTACCATAAAAAAAACTTTGTGCCTGGGCTCATCTCTTTTGGCAAGCCTTGCTCAAGAGGACCAAACACAGATCCGCTTTCACTTCAGTCTAAAATTAAGTCTTGTGTAATTTATTTACCAAATTAGCCAGGTTCGATTGGAAAAAAAAAAACTGGGTCCATAATTTTCAACTGAAGAAAAAGATATTTCTTTCAGAATATATGACTGTGTTCTCATCTTGATGTGTGGTGCACGCTTATAGTTTCCCTGTTGCTTCCATTCTGATGACTGGAAAAAGACATTTCCCTCAACTTTTGATGGGGTATCAGGTGAGGAGCAGCTCCTGTGCTTTGGTTCTATTACATTTCCGGTACAATGCATCATTTTGCTGGGACATCCACCCTCCGTTGTTCCCAGACAGAAAACTGCTCCAGCAGCTATTGCCAGTGGTCGCTTCAGATTTCAAAATACTGTATTTTTCCCGCCTCTGGAAACATCAGAAACATACAGCCATCTCTCATCCAGGCAACTCTGTCTTTCGAGGCAGTATAAATATGTACATTCTTTTGGTGATAATATGAACAAGCTAGGTGTCTTCAGGGATGGATGGGTCAGCTGGGGTCAACACGGGTGCCAAATTTCAAGGAAAAAACTGAAATACAAAATACAGGTATTATTTGTGGGGGGGGGCACTGATTGCATGATTTTCTGAGGCGCCAGTGGCTACTCTACAGCCGCAACTGCACAAATCATCCAGAAACTCTGCTGATTGGGAACTCGGCCCTATCAGGGCGCTGACATTTTGAGAAGGCTGTTTATAATATTATGGCCTCTTACCCTTGGCTTTTTGTAAATGTGCGTGTCAGCTTTTGGTGTGCATTTAATAAGCTTTTACATAACAGGAGGTTCTGTTTGATTGGTGTCCTCCCAATTTTGTAAAAGACTTGCTCTCTGTCTCGGGGTGTTTGTAAGCAAATTGTGTCTGCCTGTCACATGGACGGATCCGTCTGGTTTTGAGAAAAGTCATTCACTGGCCACTTTGACACCAAGCAGCTCCAATTATGGGGTTGACAGCTTTGATAATCTTGTTCGTGGCTGGTACGTGTGTGTGTGCGTGTATGAATTTGCCATTTGATATGTAGTGGGAATAAAGTTTGCTTCTGGCTGAGTGAACTGGACTGGACTGGACTGTATAATCTTGAACTGAGCAGATTATGAAGAGATCCCCCGCAGTTCCCTGAACTAGTTAAAAACTTCTTGCTGACATTTTAAAGAAGCTCCCAAGTCTTGCAACATCTATTTTATAAGGGGTTTTGAACAGAAGTCAATGGTGAGGTGAGACTTGCTAGCTCTGACAAGAATTGCATGAACCAGGGCAAGGCATTCTGTTCTTTAAAAAAAAAGTAGCCGAATTTAGAAATAATGTATTGAAGAGCTTTTTAGTACTATTACCATTAAGTTCTTGTTCCTCTTTGGGCGGCCACTAGTGTTAAAATCTCAAGTCCGAAAAGGTTTTGCATGCTGCCAATGTCATTGATTGGTGCGATATCCTTGTTGTGATTGTGACACAGGTACCTACATTTGTAGAGGTAACCACCAACCAGCCACCAACCGATAACCCTAAATTCTGGAGGGAGAGGGGAGCGTGAGACAGATAGAATTAACTGCTGTGTAAAATCACCGCCGGGCAAAAACGTTTTGGCGGACAAGAAAGGAACAAGAGCCCCACTTTTGTAATTGATGGTATTACTTTAAAATGGAGAAGTATTACTACCCTCAAAAAAAGACTGGAAAAAACGGATCACAGGAATAGGTGATTTGATTGCTTGAAATACTAGAGCCCCTTTTTTACAATCGCCGCCTTGTGTTGCCTTGTTGCTACTCGACTAAATTAGGGAAATGTTTCCCTACCCTCAGGGCTGAATCCGAACGCGCTGATTTAAAAAATGACTTTATAAAGTCGCTCATATTCGCTGAAATCGCCTCTTTCTGCGGCGTCTCCTTCGGGCAAGGCTTGGAGGCTTCGATGGGCGCGGCTATGCAAATTAGAGTCACGCCCCCCAGGCGGGGAGCTCTGGGCGGCGAAGGCGAGCGAGAGAGCGGCGGGCGTCCTCTCTGGCCGCCTCGCCTCTTTGGCCGGCTGCACGTGATCAGGCCCGGCGGCGCGAGTCTCGCGAGAGGGGGCGTGGCTTGGGTGGGCGGGCCGCCCGGCTGTCCCCCCGATGGG